CTTTTATTGTTGCTAAGTGAAGCAGTGCAGCTGTTCTGAACTAGGCTTCCCCAACAGCACGAAGCCGAGTCCTCATTCTTTTATTTAGCTTACAGTGAATTCCACTCCAGCAAAGTCTTTCCTCTCCCACAATCTTTCAAGATAGTTTACGATTACCGACCTTGATCAGGCTTGGAGAGCGGCCAGGCCGATATCTTTCAGACGCTGCAATACTTGGCAAGAATGCAGGAATGAACGAATTGTCTCCTGCAAACTCCACTCCCCTGTTGCTCCTCTTTTATTCCCTATGGGAGGGGCCATTCATCGTCCACATGTGGCCTTACTCCCAAGTCTACCCTTGTTCTTTAGCTGTTCCCTTCGTCTGGCAGCTCTGTGCATGGGCACACTGGGCACAGGCTCCAGCTGTTCCTCTCCCTCACTGATGTCTGACTCCGAAAGCAGCTGATAACTGTCAGACGGCTCTGGTCCCGTCTCTGCTTCCAATGCAGAGCCCTCATCAGAGCCTTCTCCAAACTCCAGGACTGGCCCTTGTCCCTCCCCAACCTCCTCACTGTCCGACTCTGCCACCAGCTCTGCTGGCCACTGGCAAACCACAACAGCGCTTGTTAAATTGGTAACATGGTTGCTAAGTGAATCTGGCTTCCCCATTGACTTTGCTTGTCATAAGGTCGCAAAAGGGGATCACGTGACCCCGGGACACTGCGACTGTCATAAATATGAGTTAGTTGACAAGCGTCTGAAGTATGACCATGTGACCATGGAGATGCTGCGATAGATATAATTTTGAAAAGTGGTCATAAGTGACATTGTAACTTTGAACATCCACCAAATGGACTGTTGTAAGCTGAGGACTACTTGTAATGCAGTCTATGAATACATCAGGACCACCATATGAAATGTCCATGTAAAGAAGTAGTTGGCAGTTCAATTCGGCTGGTAGGAATGACAAACAAGAGGTCTTCAACCAATTTACAATACAATACAAGAGCAGAGTTGGAAGGGACCTTGGAGGTCTTCTAGTCCAACCCCCTGCCTAGG